GGTGGCGGGCCAGAGGGCGAGGCGGCGGGCCGTCGGGTGAGGCGGCGGCCGTCAGGTAAGGCGGCGGCGGGGCCGACAGAGGTGCAGCGGGGGGGGCCTGCCGCAGCGACGAAGAGGCCGCGCGGCCGTCTTGAGGGCGGCGCGGCGCGGCAGAGCCGAGAGGGCGGCGCGGCGCGGCTGTAAGGGCCGCGCGAAGTGGGGCCCGGGCCGCGCGCGCGAAAAAAATTGAGTCGCGCGCGCGACTCTCGGGGCGCCACAAGGGCAGCGCGACGCGCACTAGGGGGAGCGCGCCTCGAGGAGAATAGGGCGCGCTCCGGGCAGGAAAAAAAAGATCGTGGGTGGGCCCAAAAAAAAAAAAAAACGGTCCTTAGAAGGGACCCGCTCTATACCATGTGAAACTGAATGAACGGGAGTGGATCACTATGAAATGAAGTGGGTACAAATAGGAAACCCTAATTGGGTTGTACCCCCTATGGGATACCCCACAATAGCCTACAGAAACAAGTAAGCTATATGTTCTGACACCCCCTTCCGTAATAAGTCCGTCAGTGGCGCCGTCAACCGTGCCATGTCAGGAACGAACCGACGCACGTAGTTTACGAACCCTAAAAAACTCTGCAGTTCCGTAATATTCGTCGGGGGGTGCCAGGCTTTCACCGTGTCCAACTTCTTTGGGTCAATTTCGACCCCAGCCTCCGAAATAATGTGCCCCAAGAACTCTAACCTGTCCTGAAAGAACTCGCACTTGGAACCCTTTGTCAGTAGCCGATGCTCGTCTAAGATCTTAAATACTGCTTCCAGATCTGCTAAGTGCTGCTGCTTGTCGCGACTGTAGACGAGGATGTCGTCGAGGTAAACTATCACGCATTTATCTAAGAGCGGCCTAAAAGCCTCGTTCATGGTCATTTGAAATGTCGCTGGTGCGTTGGTCAGCCCGAAAGGCATCACGGTGTATTCGAATGACCCGTATCTAGTCCGAAAAGCTGTTTTTGCGCAGTCCGATGGTTCGACCCTAATCTGATGGTAACCTCCACGTAAATCTATTTTCTAAAAAACCCGTGCTGTTTGCAGCTGGTCGATCAGTTCGTCGGCGCGGGGAATGGGGTACCATGACTTGACTGTTACCCTGTTGAGCGCTCGGTAATCGATGCACATGCGAAACCCTCCGTCTTTTTTTTGGCGTGAACAGTATCGGTGCGGCGAACGGCGATGAGCTTGGTCGGATGAATTTCTTCTCTAACAAGTAATCTAACTGCTTCCTTAGTTCCTCAAGCTCGGGCTGTGTCAGTCTGAACTGGCGCTGTACAGTTGGCTGTGCCCCCAGTTCTAATTCTATTTGGTGGTCATGTGCTCGCTGAGGTGGCAGTCCTTCCGGTAAGTCGTTGGGAAAAATGTCGGGGTATCGTTTCAACAGTTCCTGTAATTCGGGCTTTCCTTTTGCTAACAGTTTCTGAAAATCGCTCGGCTGCTCTGCTTCTTCTACTACTGCGATGTCTACTGCGTACACGTCAGCTCCAGCAGCGACAGCCCGTTTCATGGTGGTGGCGTTGACGTGTACCGTTGAAGACTCGGGCGACTGCCAACGAGGTAGCTCGACCCTGTTACCGCTACTCCGCACAATGCAGCGACACGTTGTCCAGTCAATTCGCGGGTTATATCGTCGCAGCCAATCACGTCCCAGTAAAATGTCGTGCCCATCCAGTGTCGTTGCAAGAATTTCCTGTGTAAACCCGAAATTTCCCCCGCAGCGGACTTTGACTCTCTCCACCTTTTCCCGTATGGCCAGTGGCGTGCCGTCGACTAAGCGTGCGTCTATCTCAGGTAAACAACGGCTAAGTGTCAGTTGCAATCTGCGAGCGGTTGCGGCATTAACTAAACTATGACTTGCTCCTCCGTCGATAAAAATCTTCACTGCTGCTCCCTGTATTTTCCCGTGGATCAGTACTGGGCAATCCGTCGCTGTACCCTCCTTATTCGTCCGAGCCCGATCGATAGCATGAATCGTCACTGTGACTCGGTGAGGGTCGGTGGGGTTGGGCGAGTAGGTAGTCTCGTCAGTAGTTGGCCCGATTCCTACTGACTGATGGCGTTTCCCTGCCTTGGAGACTCCCTCCCCTGCTCTGCTCCGCGGCGCCTTAGCTCCTCTTGGCATTCACTCTTGCGATGGCCCGGCCTATTGCAAGCGAAGCAGCGCCCCTTAAACGGCGCGACAGCTGCATTCGTTGCAACGGCGTGTACAGTGGCGTGCTCGATCGGTCCCCGAGGACGATGTCCGTAGTAGGACCCCGGTCTCGGACGGCGTAAAATGTCGATTTTCTCGGCGAGCGCGAGAATCTCGTTGAAGTTCGAGAGCCCGCGTAGCATAATCTCGTGCGAGATGTCCGGCTTCAGCCCTCTGACGTAACGGTCCACCCGCTCTGCTTCGTGCATGTAGCCGACTTGCTCGCATAATGCGAGAAAACCACTCGTGTAGTCTTGATCCGACCCGAGCTGCCGCCAAGTGCGCAATCTCTGATGCGCCGAAATAGAAGTCGCGATCGGCTCGAAGCGCGCCCGCAACCCTGCGCACCACGCATCCCACGTGCTGTATTGGGCGGTTTCACAGAATGAGCTCCAGGTGACAGCTGGACCCGTGGGCCCTTCCTCTTGCGACGGTGGCTCGTAGGCGCGTGGCGACGTCACGATGACTCGCCACCAGTCCATGGCGGGGCCCCTTATCAGCGAAACGGCATACCAAATCTTCGCTGCGTCCGACTCGACGTAATTCGCGTCAAAGAAGACGTTCATCGTGAAGACCCACGACTGAACCGTCGGGCCTCCACGCTGGCTCGGGTAGAAGCAGAGCAGGCGTTGCGGCTTGAGTGGCATTGGTGCTATAATGGCCGGTTCGCCACTTGTCGCCGCGAACTCTTCGTGCCGACGGGCTTCGCGAGGCTCCCGCGGGCTTGGTGCGACCCTGTTTCCTCCCATGCCAGGCATCGGCTGGGCGGCGCCATCACTGGCTGCGCCTGAGCGCTGTCCCACGCTGTTCTTTTGTGTTGGTGTGCCGGACGAAATGACGATCGGTTCGTCCGATTGTGCAGATGCATTTGTCGGTGCGTGTGGTGGCCCTGGAGTGTTCACCGTTGATTGCTGAGGCGCGGAGTCACGTTCCGCCGTGAGCGTCGCAATTTCGAGCGCAGAATCTTCAAGTTGGCGCACCAGACGTTCAAGCTGCTCCTGTGTCAATGTTGCGAGCGTGAATTCGGCCATGGCGGGGGTTTCGGGCAAGCTCAGCAAGAGCCTCGGTCGTGGCCGTGTGTGCTTACGAGAGAGCACTACGAGCGGCGGTGCTGTGTCGCTGAGAGACGTCTACTCCCCCCAAAATTTGAGGGTGCGAAAGTGTGGGTGCGGTCCGAGAAGAGATCGTAGGCTTTGAATACCAAGTGTTACGAGTGCAATTGAGTGAGCGAGCGAGAATTGCACTATCGAAGCAAGAATACAATGAGCGAAGGCATTAGCGAAGAATATATAGCGAAACTACAGTGGTAACGGTCACGGACTATGGTTGTCGCGTGACGGGCCTGGGACTGAGGTTGGGAAAAGTGCCGAAGCGGAGGCCCGGGGCGCGGGTAACCCGCCGAGCCGTGAGGTCAGGGTGCGACGTGCGAAGGTGGCGGGAGGATTGTCGATGCGAGAGTTGCGAGTGGTAACGGTGCTGACTGTGGTGCTTCAGTAGTGTACTGCGCTGAGCGGGGATGCGAAGTAAGGAAAATGAATTTTCCTTACAGCAAGAAAGGTTTCAACAGAAAAAAGGAAGGGGATTCCGTGTGTGGTGCTTCAGGTATCTATTGCCCGTCTCGGGTCATCCCTCGTACTCGTGTACCGCATCAGCAAAATCCAAAATCGTGATGAAGCGCGTGGGCCCTGTCAAACTTATATGCTATAGTCTGTGTACGCTCTAGTGGGGTAGACAATATGGGGTACAGCATTTCTAGGTTTTCCTACTTGTACCCACCTCTTTCCTAGTTCATTTCATTCCTCATTCTTCACATGGTATAGAGCAGGTTCCCTCGTGGGAACGCTTCTCAGGGCCCACCACCTAACTCGATCCTTTTTTTTTTTTTTTCCTGCCGAGGCGCGCCCGGTAGGCCCCCCTCACGTCGCGCCCTCCTAGAGGGCCCCTCGCGCCACCCTTAGCGGTCCCGTCGCCGTCCTTTCCAGCCCCGTCGCCGCCCCTCTAGGCCCCTCGCGGCCCCTTCACGGCCCCGTCGCCGCCACTCTAGGCCCCGACGCCGCCCCTCTAGGCCCCTCGCGGCCCCTTCGCGGCCCCGTCGCCGCCCCTAGCGGCCCCGTCGCTGCCCCTCTAGGCCCCTCGCGGCCCCTTCGCGGCCCCGTCGCCGCCGCTCTAGGCCCCATCGCCGCCCCTCTAGGCCCCTCGCGGCCCCTTCGCGGCCCCGTCGCCGCCCCTTCGCGGCCTCATCGCTGCCCCTCTAGGCCCCTTGAGGCCCCTCTGCGGCCCTGTCGCCGCCCCTAGCGGCCCCGTCGCCGCCCCTGGAGGCCCCGTCGCCGCCCTTCGCGGCCACCTCGCCGCCCTTAGCGGCCCTGTCGCCGCCCCTAGTGGCCACGTCGCCGCTCTTCGCGGCCCCATCGCCGCCTCTACCGGCCCCTTCACCGCCTCTACCGGCCCCTTCACCGCAGTGCCGCCCAGCAGCTGAGCACCCGAGCCACCACGCCGCCAGCCGCCCAGCAACCGAGCCGCCTAACAGCCGAGCCGTCGAGCCGCCCACCAGTCGAGCCGCCAAGCCGCCCAGCAACCGAGCCGCCGAGCCGCACAGCAGCCGAGCCCCCCAACAGCCGAGCTGCCGAGCCGCCCAGCAGCCGAGCCGCCGAGCCGCCGTGCCGCCCAGCAGCCGAGCCGCCGAGCCGCCCTGCCGTCGAGCCGCTATTGTTCCTACTGGCGTGCCCCGGCCCTACTTACTCGGACTGGTGAGATCACTCCCTGCTAGGCCACTACAGTCATGGCTACCCCCAGTGTCCTTACCTTTGATACTGAGGGTCGTGCTGTTGACTTTGAGGTCTGGATCGATGACCTCCAGCTGTTCCTACAATGCGATAGGGCAGACGGACTCTCCCTGTTCGATCTCACCTCTGGTGCCTCTCCTGCCCCGCCTGCTGATGCTGACAGCACTGTTCGCTCACAGTGGGCCACACGCGATGCTGCTGCCTGTCTTGTTGTGCGTCGCCACTTACCGACCGCTGAGCGTGCGCAATTTAGTCAGTACAAGAGGGCTAAGACCTTGTACGACGCTGTAGTTGCACGCTACTCTTCCCCTGCCACTGCTGCTCTTAGCCGCCTCATATTGCCGTACCTTTTTCCTGACCTCGCCGCCTTTCCCACTGTCGCTGACCTCATTACGCACCTTCGCACTAGTGACACCCGCTACCGCGCTGCGCTTCCTGCTGAGTTCTGCGCCAAGAACACCCCCCCCCATGTACATCACCCTCTACTACATAGTCACCCGGCTCCCTGACTCCCTTTGCTTAGTCATGGACCACTTCTTCTCAGTTTGCCCCACCACACTCACCGTTGACCTCCTCGAGGAGCGCCTCCTAGCAGCAGAGAAGAGAATAATCGCTGTAGGAGCCTCTCGTGGTGACCCTCGCACTCCCGTCTTTGAGGGGTGTTCCCCCTCCCCCCTATTGCCCTCTGTTGCATCTGCTGCTGCGGCCGACCTCGTTGGCTTCGAGTCGGTCGGCGCTGCGTCTGCCCCTAGCGGGAGACGCCGCACGGTAAGGGCAAGGGGGGCAAGGGCGTTGGAGGGGCTGGCGGGGGCGGTGGAGTTGGTGGTGGAGGCAGTGGAGGGGGTGGGGGTGGTGGTGGGAGTGGTGGCGGGAGTGGAGGTGTCGGTGGCAGCAGTGGAGGCGGAGGAGGCGGCGGCGGTGGCGGAGGGAGCGGAGGCGGCGGAGGTGGCGGAGGCGGCGGAGGCAACGGAGAAGCTGGTCACGGCTCTGGGCAGAGGAGTGGCTCCGGTGGTGGTCCGCGCCAGCAGCAGCAGCGCAGTCGTGAGACCGTGTCCCCTCAGCAGCTTTGTGAGTGGTACGCTGGGCGTCAGCGGGGTGGGGGTACTAGTCCCTGCACCTACGTCCTCCGTACCGGCGACCGCGCTGGTGAGCAATGCAGGGGCCCGCACTCCACCCAGCGCTGCTTCGGCCGCCTGACGGACGCGTGGCGTCACCAGTTCCCTGACGCCACTGAGATCCCTCGTTGGGGAGATCTGTCTAGGGCGGGGGTTGCTATCTTTGATCTTGATTATGATGCTATTCTTGCTACCATGTATGCTGTGTCTGATAGTGTTGAGGGTGACTGTTACCTGTGTGTCCCGCCTGACCCAGGCATTGAGGCTGCTGCTCTAGGTGCTGGTGAGGCTGCTGCTCTAGGTGCTAGTGCGTCTGCTGCCCCAGGTGCTGGTGAGTCTGCTCTCTCAGGTACCACGTCGGCTCAGGCCTTACACACCTTCACCCTTGACTCGGGTGCTTCCCGCTCCTTCTTTCGCGACCGCACCACGCTTACGACGCTTAGTCGGCCGGTTGCGGTCTCCCTGGCGGACCCCTCTGGGGGTCCTGTCCTTGCTACCTTCTCCGCTGTCTTTCCGTGCCCAGCAGCCCCCTCTGGCACCCTGTCAGGTCTCTACCTCCCCTCGTTCTCTACGAACTTGGTGAGTGGAGCTGATCTACAGGATAGGGGGGTTGACCAGTTCACGCCTGCGAGTCAGCGGGTGACCCACTTTACGTGTGCTCGGACGGGCCGACACTTGGCCACGTTTACCCGTCGGCCGAGGTCGAGCCTGTACACACTGACTACTGAGTCTCCTCCGGTCGCTGAGTCTGGTCAGGTAGCTGCGTCGAGTCTGGTATTTGCTGCAGTGTCCAGGTCTGGTCCTGAGTCTGCTCCCTGCTCGTGTCGTCTGCTGTCCCACCAGACTCTCCTTTGGCACCACCGCCTTGGTAACCCCTCCCTGCCTCATCTCCGAGGCATGGCCTCCCGTGTCCTTGTCTCTGGTCTCCCCCGGTCCCTCCCTCCCCTACCTCCGGGGTGTTATGTGATGCTATAATTTGCATTCACGTCTGTCTGCCTCCTATCACATGTTCGTGCGTTGCGTGGTGTGAGCGTGTGCAAGAATTTGTGTTTGATGTGGTTTGGATTTTCTGAGTTTGTGTGAATGTTATTTGGCTTGAGCAGATATCTGAAGTGTCTCCTCTGCTCAAGAGCTTTTTGACGAACCAAGTATCGCTTCAATCGGAGCACGAACAAGAAAGTTACGAACGTTGGAAGTTTGTATGCTTTTGATATTTGGTTGTGGTGACTATGGGAAGTTGTGGGGTTGACTCAATATGGGGTACAGACTTTTGGGGGTTGGGAAATTCGTCTTTTCTACTGAAGATGCTGCCAAATGGTTGGGTGAAACCAAATCAGGTTGGCAAGTGTGGCCAAGTTGGGTTGAGGTGGATTGTGGAGGTTGGGATAGTGACAAAGGTCAGAGTTGGGTTGCCTATGGGGAAGGGAATTGTGTGGCATGGGGTTTCCTTGGTTGGGGACTCTCTTGGGACCTTCCCTCTCATCCTACTCATCCCTTCTACCTAGTTTAGTGCTACTCTAACTCTCTTGTGTAGTAATTGTGAACTTGTGTGAGAACTTAGTGATTGAGTTAAGATTCCATGGCAGCATACCCCCAAGTGCGCCGAAATTGATCACTCAAGAAATACTTCATTATTTCGTATTATTCAACTTGGGAATTGTAGCCACAGAGTAGAGCTACATCATAAAGTTTTGACTGTGAACTGTTCGTCGAAGACGTTTCTTGTGAGCGCGACTTTTCTGTCCAGAATTCTAAGCCAACGATTTTGAGAATTTTAGGCACCTAATCTTCGTAGACTCCGTCCTTAGTCTCTAACAACTGGTATCAGAGCTAATTAAGGACTTTGTGGAGAGTCTACTGAAATTTGAAGACCCTCCTAGACCCTCCATGGCCTGTGGGCGTGCCTAAGTGGAGTTCTGGAGGTTGGATGTGACTTTCGCTAAGGGGAAACTCTACCGAAATTTCGTTGGCGCCGAAACTTGTGAAGATTGTGTGGATCTACATTGTGACCAGCAAAGGGGGGAGCTGAAACCTCTGATTGGGAGCAGAGGAGATGAAGAGGAGTTGAGATGCAACTGAGAAGAGGAGCGAGCCGCCACCATCCAAGATTGAAGCTTTGGATGGCTCCAACTATGAGGAATGGAGCGGGCGGATGCGGAGCGTCTTCAAGCGCTACAAGCTGCTGAAAATTGCAATGGGAGAGGAGAAGATGCCGGGGGGAGGAGATGCCCGTGATCGGTGGATTGAGAAGAGCGCGGTGGTGTACGACCTTATCCTCCAATCGGTCAACAACGACGTGTTCCAGCACATCAAGGACTTGGTTGAGTTGGATGATTATGGACCGAAGGCATGGAAGCTGCTACGCGACGTGATTCAGCCCAACACGCTGCCGATGGTGATTGTGTTGGAGAAGGAGTTGGCTGCCCTCTCCATGAAACCGGGAGATGATGTGAAACCGGTCCTTGACAAGATCAAGGACACCTATGCGAGGATGGCAGCAGTGGGCAGCGAAGTGTCGCAGATGCAACAGTGCACCAAGATCATCTCGGTGCTCGACAACTCGTGGGACAACCTCATCCCCACCCTCGACGTTCAGCAGGACAAATGGACGTCTGAGTGGCTACAGCAGCAGATTCTGCAGGAGGACTTCCGCAGGCGCCACACGGGAGGTGGTGCTGCCAACAAAACTGCTGAGGGGTATGGAGCTATAGGAGGCAGCAGAGGAAGAGGGAGAGGGAGAGGGCGAGGCCGTGGGAGAGGCTTTGGCAGAGGGAGAGGCCGAGGTGACTACAATGAGGGGCATGGGAGCTCTGGTGGCAGGGGGAGCACCCGAATCGAGGGTGCGTGCTGGTACTGCAAGAAGGCTGGACACCCATGGTTCAAGTGTTTCAGCCAGCCTGAAGGATGGGCCCCTCCAGGGATGAAGCCGCCAAGTGGTGAACGTGTACGAGGTGGCGCTGTGCAAGGTTCGGGTGCACAAGGTGGTGGTGCACAAGGGAAAGCCGACCCTGGGATGTTCCTCATGGTTGAGGATGTGCAAGGGAGTAGGGGTGATGTGGGTTCAGTTGGGAAGGTTGTTATGCATCCCCTCACCCACTAGGTGATAGACTCAGGTTGCACAAGTCACATGACCCCACGGGGAGATTTGCTTGACGAGGTAAAGCCCCCTGGGAAGATAAAGTTTGTTGCTGCCGCTTCAGGTGCTTTGCTCCCTGTGATTGGTGTGGGGAATGCCAAGGTAATGGGAGCCAATGGGGGGCTTGTGGGGCTGGGGAATATGCTGTTGGTTGAAGGTTTGTCCGCTAACCTTCTTTCCGTGCGCCGGCTGCAGAAAAGCAAGGCCAAAGTGACTTTCGGCCCAACTAGCTGCCGTGCAAAGCTTGGGAAGTTGCTAATGTGGAACTTGGAGGAGAAGAGCAGCTGCTTAAAGGACCTTTGGAAGCTGCCCATCATCCCTTGGAAGGGGAAACCACAAGCAACGGCAAAGGCAGTGGCAGCGGCTAAAGCAGCTGCGGGAGGAGAGGAGACTGCATCAACTGCTGGGGCCCTGGATGCAGTCAAGAAGGTGCAGCAGCCACACCAGCCACATGGTGAGGTGCTTGCTGGTGTGGATGCGACAGCTGCATGGGCAAAGGCTTCATCTGGGAGTGGTGAAGCTGATTGGGAGACGTGGCATGAGAGGGTGTGCCATGTGAACATTCCTATGCTGCAGAAGTTGGTAAAGGATGGGTGCTTGTTAGAATCAGGGAAGTGAATGAACTAGGCAACAATGTAGTACAAGTATGAAACCCTAAAAGTTGTGTACCCCCTATAGGCTTACCCACTATAGCCTACACAACAATAACACATATACAGTGTTTGACACACCCCCATAGGCAAAGTGGGGGAGAGCAAGGGGTCACAAGACCAGTCAAGAAAGGTAAACAAGCTCAGGGTGGATCACAACGTCACCACACACACTGAGCACAAGCAAAGGGCCTCAAGGCCAGTTCACATGCAGAGACATATATGCAGTACAAACAACAAGGTGATCTCAACCTAGCAAAGCAAACAGGCAGGTAGGTATATATAGAGATCACAGTACAGGCAAAGCCTATAGCAAGTGAGGAAACGTGGGCACAAGTCCAAGCAGAGTGCACAAACGCTAATGATCACCAGACTGGAGTGCCTTGGTGAATATATCAGCGGTGTTGGCCTCAGTGGCCACGTAGCGCAGACGAAGCTGACCGCGCTGCTGTAGCTCTCGAGCCAGGAAGTAACGGAGAGCGATGTGCTTCTTTCTGTGCTCCAGTCTGTGCTCCTCACACAAGGCAATGGCAGCCTTGTTGTCGACGTACAGCACTGGAGGAGAACTAGGCCGCTCTCCCAAGTCGGTCAGCAGGTAGGTGAGCCAGCGTAGCTCCTGTGCAGCCATAGCTGTGGCGTAGATCTCAGCCTCACAACTGGACCTGAGAACAGAAGACGAGCGAGTAGAACGCCAAGAGACTGAACCAGAGCCAAGGCTGAAGGAGTAACCCTTTGACGACCGCTGAGTAGCCTGGTCGTCAACCCAAGAGGCGTCTGAGTGCCCAGTGAGAACAACTGAGCTCCCTCCTCCAAGCACGAGCCCCATGCCTGATGTACTGCACAGGTAGCGCAATAACCTCTTTGCAGCATCCCAGTGCACCTTTCGGTGCCTGCCAGGAGCCACGTAGCGGGCCACAAGGTTAAGAGGGTATGCTAGGTCAGGACGAGTGCAAGTCAACAGGTATATGAGGCAACCAACTAGCTCTGGGTAAGGACCACTCGGCTCTACGGACTCATCCGAAGGCAGAGCTGAGAGCGAGTGACCTATAGCCAGAAGAGTGGTCTGTGCCGAGGACCAGGTGAAGCCGAAGCGCTGAAGGATCTGCTGCACCATGTGTGACTGAGTCAGTGTGATGGTGCGGCGTGCTCTGTCCCAGGTGATCTGCAAGCCAAGGTAGCTGTGCAGTTCACCCAGGTCTGTGCACGTGTGTCTCTTCTGCATCTCTAGCTTCCCGTGGGCAAGAGCATCAGTGTCCGCAATGGCAAAGACCAAGTCGTCGACGTACACGAGGATGTAGAACGGCGGCAGTGAAGTGTCAGTGCGCAGAAACAGCGACGGGTCAGCAGTAGAGAGCGCGAACCCATGTGCCGCAAGTATAGTCCTCAATGTGTCGTGCCACTCACATGGCGCCTGGGGGAGACCGTAGACTGGCCGCCGGAGGCTCTATTGGGTACCAGGAGGAAACGGCCCAGTGAAGCCAGGAGGGCGGCGCAGCCAGATCTCCTCGTGCAGGCTGCCCTACAAGAAAGTTGTGCTGAAGTCCAGAGAGTGAAGCTCGTAGTCACGCTGAGCAGCAACGTGCAGTAGCACCCGAAGAGTGGTCATCTTCGGGGTGGGGGAGAAGGTCTGAAAGAAGTCTACTCCCTCTCGCTGACTGAAGCCTCGAGCAACGTAACGAGTCTTGAAGACAGGCGGAGAACCTGGCGGCCGCTTCACCCTGAAAATCCACATGCCACTGACGATGTTCGCCCCAGGTGGGGGAACCTCGTCAACGTAAGTGCCAGCGGACTTCCAGGATTTCATCTCTTCATCCATGGCTGACTGCCACTGGGAGGAGTACTCACCCGCGATCGCCTCAGCGTAAGAGCGCGGGGTCGGGATGTCTGGAGCATCCGGGTCTCCCTCAGGGGCAATCATCATGGACACGAGATGAGGCGCAGCGGCTGCAAGACACTCAAGGTCCTCCTGTCTGTCCTCAAGGACGTCCGTGCCTAGAGCACACTCACCCCTGACGGACGGAGGACAGACAGACTCAGACTCAGCAACAAGACTGGCAGCGTAGTCTAGACGACAGTGAGCAGCAAAGTCGACAAGCTCATCAACTAGGGCAGACGCAGCAGCAGACTCAAAGGAAGGGTCAGTGACACCTGTGGCCAGGAGACGCGTGACAGTAGGACTGG